CTATCTCATTTCTCATTTGATAGAATTTGGAGCCAGTAACCTAATGACAGTTTGTTGGAAGTGTGCTAAGCACTAACCGAAGTCTTCTTTCCTACTTCTATCACTCTTGTCTGCCTCTTTATATAATGTATGATATTTAGTAATTTCAGCATTTTTTGCATTAACCATAATAATATTATTTATAGGGACGGTTTAGAAGTTATGAATTCTATCCTTCCAAAAAGTTTATAGCAAGTGGTAATTTTGAACAAAGGAGAAAATATTTAAAATGGACTGATTATTAGAAAAATCATGTTTATTAAAATACGTTTTCCTTCTCTCTTTTATTTTTAGTTAATAGTATATTCATATTTGCAGCAGTTAGCAATAATAGTTCAAAGACAATACATTCAAAAATGAACCCTGTTTGTGATCACAGTAATGAGCCGCCTAAAAAAGTGCATCTAAATAATTAGAGGCAAATTTCTAAACTTTAACGCTTCACCTTCTACCTGGTGTTTTAAATATACTTAGGAATGACTTGTTTGAAGACCTTAGGTCAAGTTTACATTATGAATTCTGAAAATAATATCAACCAAAACAGAACACTAAACATTGCAAAATTCCCAGAGTACAATATGAGAGTTACTTGGTGAGTTCATATTGCTGTCTTAAAACTTATAAAGCCACATCTTCTGAATGAGAATTATATGGAAATATTATGATCAGTATATTACATGTGCTATGCAACTCTGTACGTTTTGAAGCAGGCAATGTAATTTAAAAACAGCAAAAAGAAACTCCCTAATTAATCTAAATTTGCTAGGCGTTTCTTGCATTAGCTGAGGAGTTGTGCGATGCAGGAATCGTAAGAAGTTTATCAGAAAAGTTACAATTTTCTCATTGTATTACATCATATGCAGTGACTTAGTATTGTAACAGGAAGAATGATTGTTATCTCAAGCAAATACATCACTTATCTTCATCTGATATCCGTCACCGTAGAGTCGTCAGTGTGTATTTGATTGCATTGTAATGCAATGATAAAATAGATAAATGAATAAGGTCAATTATATTGTAAATTATCTTTTTTCTCCAGAGATTTCATCAACACTGTAATGGCTGTAAAAAACCAGAAAACTAGTAAGGTAAAACAAGAATGAATAATTATTAAATATTCCTCTAATAATATTATAGAACACATGAGCCATGAGGATTTTTGAAGTTAGTCATTAATCTGTTGATTTTGATCTCTATATAAAGCTATACTGGGTAAAATAAGTCTTATCAAAGCACTCTTAGTTGGCCAAAATGTCTGTAAATGTCTAAAATATCGTCAAGATAAGATCTTCCAGACTATTTGTTTTGCACAACAAGATATCTAAATTGATCGAAATTACAATTCTATTTTGTATTTCAATTAATAACTTACCTTTTGCCTTCAATAATGATTGTAGCCCCAATCAACTTATCTGCAAGGATTTGAATAGTTTCGACTTAAGTAAGGATTTAGTTCATCTAAGATCTCTTATTTACAGAAGGTTAAGTAATTACCTCAAAAATTTGTAGATAGGTAATATCTAGAACTATTCATGAGTGACAGGATATATCAGTAATAAAACGTATAAGAGGGACCTTTCAGTGTTTAAATGTAAGCTTAAATAATATGCATCAATTTCGCACACACATACACACACATCATCATCTTACGTGTATTTAGGACCTGAAAATGCCTACTGTTTAAATTGTTAACAATTATATTTCGCTTATATTTTAAAGTACAGTTGGAAGTCATGCTCACAGCAGGAGAATTCTCTGTTTCAAAGGTAAGTTAATCAGATTGATGCCTAAGAAAAGTTTACAATTAGAATTTGAGGATTGTGGAGATTTTATTTGTAAGGTTGCTGAACAGTTATGCCAAATCCAGGATTGACAGAAATGGGAAACTGTGAATCATTAAGATTTGACCCAGTAACTAAATATTTGATGCGTTCACCATGGAACCTGACGTTCCTCTGTTCAATCCCTCGCAGGGTCATGGGTGCGCGTTTGTGAAGAATCCCATATTAGGACCAAACAGTTATCCAGTGCCCTCAGATGTTCGGTGGTTCTCTAACTGTTGCCAGTCTGTGATGAATACAGTTTTAAAAATTTTATTATCCTCTGGACAGAAAAACAGGACAACATAGGCTCTGGCAGCAGTTGAATCTAGCCCCCTTTCACCAGTGTGTAAAATGCTAGCAAAGTTGGAAGAAACTACAATGAGCAGGACAGATATCGAATAAAAAATAGACAAAGAGTACTTTGAGCTCAATGTGTTTGACTTAAAGCCATACCATTGAAAGCCTCTATTGGCTTAAATTCAGCATATCGAGAACCCCAATTTAGTAGTCTAATTTCAATACAATTCCCAAATGTTCAAACATTATTTCGTAGACGTTTCTTAAAAGACTCAATAAGTCGTTGAAGAGTTACTGCCTTCATCAAAAATATTATTACAAGCTTTAAGCATACCTGACCTGGTAGCTCGATGCATTTCCATGTGAGAATTCTATTTGACAGATGATGGAGTAGGAAATCAGTTAGTGAAAATAAACAAAATAAAGTTAATGATTTATTGAAAATGGTTAAGGGAATAAGACATGAGACATTCAATGGCGTGATGTATGCAGGTTTGGCTCCATTATTACCTTTCAAAAAGTAATTTATTTAGCAATTAAAAATTATAATTTTAACTTATGCTTTATGGTGAAAACTCGCACTAAGATTTGATTTAGAGATAACGAATATATCTCTGAGTTTCGAAAAACTGTTGACGTTTTATATTAAAAAATAGCTAGCATACTGCTTTAAACACCAAAATAGGCTGCTTTTATCACTTATAACTGCAAACAATGACGTATTATACTTTGCACTGCACAGAATAATAGGAACCCAGTCATATATATATATATATATATATATATATATATATATATATATATATATATATATATATAGGAATTATTGAAATTTTCTATGCACAATAAACAATTCCTAATTATATTTGTAAACAGATGCAAAAGTAAGCAAATAACTTGAGTGAATAACTGAAAAATAATTTTTTTTCGAGGATTATCGTGAAGTATAGTGATGCATGAAGAAATTTTACATTTAGTTGTTGTTTACGCTTATCCACAGTATATTTTCTTTATCTCAATAAAAGTATTTTTACACTCTTTACTTTTATTTTGAAATGTCTTTATAGCACGTAAACTGAAATTGTCAACGCCTAAAGTAAATACAACATAAATATATTGAGAATGCAAAGTTTTATTTTAACTATTCAAAATTATCTTTTTCAGTTTGCACTACTGAAAGAATAAATATATGGTCATTTTCAAATGGATATTTGACTTTAAAAACATGAAGTTGAAGAAAGAATAAAATTTTCTCTTAAAGTAAAACTCTTTGCTTCTCAAAGTAGCGTTCGTTAGGATTAGGGAGTTCCAAATGGGAAATCACTTCGAGTTTATAGTTGATCTAAGCACACTAAAGTTATGGTGCACTTCTGAAGACATGTATATTGGAACAAATTTTATGAGGTGGGCTGATTGTGGTTTCATTCAGGTCTTGAAGATATAGAATCTAATATTCCTTCGCCTCTGTAAAAGATGTAACACTTGATATCAGTGCAATATAGAGAAGTTAACAACTTTAAGTATGAGGGTATGACTGGAAACAGAAAGATAAACGACTTTTAATTCTGTGTTTACTAAGTTGAGACTGTTTGAACACAATTCGACAGACATTTGTCCATAAATATCGGGACCGTAAGTCTATGTCTTCAGCATGATTGGTGAACAATGCAAGCAATCAACTGGAACGGTTGTTTATGATCCATAAAATCCTTGTCGAAGATCTTTTTAGTAGAAACGAGGAATTCTTTATCCATAACCAATTTTAAATACTTTAAAAACACAAATAACTAACCTGAAATTCTTATTTACATTTTTCAGTCTCCTCACATTTGTTTACAAAACTCACTGACAGAAGGGATAATTACATGTTGTTTTAAATGAGGCGCATTACGTTTGCTTCTGATTAGGATCATTCAGTGGGTTCAGAATACTTTCAACTGACAGACAAAAAAGACCAAGTTCACTTCTTGTTATAAACTGCTTTCCACGTATAAACGCATAGAATAGGATCTATGATTATGGTATTGCAGATGTCTCTGGTCCGGAAGCTGACATAAAAAGCGACAAGGCATGTATCAACGAAGAAATATTTCTTTTCAACGACAACAGACTTCAATCAATCTAAAAACAGCTAACTAGAAAACAGAGTTGCAAACGATGGTCTACTAAAGTTAAAAGTTCCATAACAGAGCAAATTTAATCAGTGGATAAAGCAGTCCACATGTAATTTGTTGCGGCTAAGGCTCATAAATATTTTTTTAATATTATATTAGTTTTTTAGTATGGACAAGGATAACGCATATAACAACATAACTTCATAGATATCATTTTCTTCAAAACAAAAAAACTATGGTTACTGTGTTTCTGAATATTTTCTTCCAGAAAGTGTATATTGAAAATCGTTGAAGAAGGTTAGAATAAGCAAACGAGTTTCCTACCTATACCTGAACAGTATATCTGCTGACTGAATAATTCAAAAAAATTTTGAATTTCCTCCTACCAGCTTGCAAACTTCCTGGTTAAGTTGTTGAAACTTAACTTTCGCATTTCAGTTAGCGTTTAATTTGGAAGTATTAGTGTGTGCATCATCGAAATTATTTAACGTTTAGTTATTTCTCATGTCCGGTTAAAAATGAGACTACCAGTGACTAATCATCGCCCAGTGAACCGAGGAGTACATAAAAAACTAAAAGGCTGGCTGTATATAACATTTCTGAACTATAAACAGGTAACAGGTTACTACTATAATTTTCTGGGTATGATATGGTGTCAATTCAGCATAGATTATACATAAAATTATGTCTTTTAATTTGATAGACATATATTTGTTAATTTTTTCAGGAGAATCTAGAAGTCTCTGAGTTCAGTGATCAAACGAATACCTTGTTGGAGTCTTCAAATCAATCAACTAATCATTTGACTGCACAACAGTCTGATTTGCCTAAATCACTTAAAGAACAAGAATATAATAACACTGAGGAAGCTGCTATCACTCAGTCAAATAATAGAGGTTATACCCAACGAAAACGTGAAAAGAGTATTCGTAAATTGGAACGTGTACTGTCTATTCATCAGAATAATGGTGAAGATCAAGTTGTGAGTGAAGAAGACAGTGAAACTGATCGTCCCACTGACTCATCATCTCATAATTTAGAATCTGAATCTATATCAGCAGAATCCACAAGAGTTGGATCACACAAAAAACACTCTTCGGTAGAATCGTCATATATAAAATCTCCTGAAGAGCGAAACAACCAAACTAATCCTACTGAAGAAGAGACAAATATCAATACAGTTGATAGTAACCAAGAAGCTATACTAATATCGCCTCTAGAAGAGAAAGTTGACTTAGAAGAACAAAGGCTAGACGATTTGGTTGAGGGTTCCAACAAACTTCCAACTGAGAATATAAATCTTTCGCGTAATACAGAATCAGAGGTAGGTTTTATTGCTGGGACATGATTTTCAATGTTGTGTAGAAGATTGACAGTGGTTCAAAGAATAATACCGCTAATGGCTTAAACTAATGTATGCATATATATATATTATGGAGTATATATATGAATTCAAATGTTTTTGGTCATTAAATGCGATTCTGACGTTGTATACAAGTTTGTGGATAAAAAACGATTTGGTTATACGATAGCAGTTTCTTACTTTATTACGATGAGGGATGCAAATGTAGAGTATTCCTCTGCATAGATTGTAGTGTCATAACTGGGATAAATAATCTAGTATGATTTATTGACAAAAAAATCGTATTCACAAGAGTAGCCTAATCCATGGTGAACCGTTGCATCATACATACAAAGTACCTTAGAATGTTGTAGAAACAGACCAGCACTGTGACGTATTACATTTGAAAGTAAAAAATTATTGTTAAAGACCTATGAAGGATTGTAAACCTTTTTAAGTCTGTTATACTGAACGAATAAAGCTGAAAGTTTGGTAGTAATTTTTGTATCAAGTCTTTGCATCATGTTATTTTCATGCAGTGCGCTATGTATTTCATACATCGAATTAATATGATACGAACAGTTAAATTTTATCACCTCACACCATCCAAGGTGGTAGAAAGTTGTCTAGTTGCCAGCTAGAGATACAGCGTACTACACATTATTTCGCTATTTCCTCTGAAATTATTTTTTTCCCTGGGTTTCTAGTGGAACATAGGGCTTCAGTAGCATGCCTCCATCACACTCTGTTCTTTGCAGTCTTTTGAACCTGGCACCACGACTACTCGAAAGCTTTCATTTCTTCCTCACATGATGTCCTTCAGGTCACCCTCGTCTCGGACACCCAACACGTCGTATCCCCCTCGGATTCCACTCGAGGGCCTGGTGCGTGATGTCCCCAGTTGGCCTTCTCAGTGTATGCCCAATCCATCTCCACTTCCTTCTGCATATTTGTTCAGTGATAGGTTCTTGGCTAGCTCGCTGCCAGTCAGCCACAGTTCCTTGTTGCTTTTCTTGTTGTTCTGGCCAGCTGATCTTCAGTATCGAGCCAGAGTAGGCAGCTGTTGATGATGTATGTGTGCAGTTTGTTGGAAGTGCTTTTCGTGACACGCCAAGTTTCTGAACCACATGGAAGCACTGACTAGACTGAAATTGGTGTTGAAAATCCGGACCTTGTTCACGCTTTATGCTGAGTGCAGTGCAGTAGATCTCCACATTGATTTAAGATTGATGAAAGTCTGTTTTGCTTTTCCGATCCTAGTTTTGACATCCTCGTTTGTGCGACCACCGTCTGTAGTTGAAACGATGCTGCCCTGTCCAGGTGGGTGAAAGAGACAACTTCCTTTAGGTTTCTGCCGTTGATGGTGATTAGTGCTTGTTAATGCTTGGGCATCTTATCACCTCCGTCGTCTCCACGTTCACCTGAAGTCCCGTTTTCGTTGCTTCTTCTGCCAACTTGTTAGTTTTCGCCAGTATATCTTCGAGTTTTTGCGGCAGTAGACATAAATCATCATCGGTGAAATCCAAATCTTCTATGGTCTTCCCATCGGTTCAGCCAGCGTATGCCCATCTTTACGCTCTTCACGGTTTGCTACATGATCCAGTCCACCACAATCAGGGGGATCATTAGTGATAGTAGGCGGCAAGCTTGTTTTACCCTTGTCATCATTTCAAAAGCATCACTGAGCTTTCCGTTGTGGATCACGTGGCATCTGGCCTTTTCATGTAGGTGATGAATGAGGTTGATAAAGGTTTGTGGAACTAAAACCATAGTGTTGAAGCAACTGCTAAGTGACTCATCGGTCGACGCTGTCGAGAGCCTTTTCAAAGCCAATAACTTTGAAGTAGAGAGTTGACTGACATTCTATGCTCTGTTCTATGATGATACGTAGCGTTGCAATTTGACCCGCTCTTGATTTGTTCTTCCTGTAGGCAACCACCCTTTTCGGGTCATACTTTTGAATCCAGTGCATTGTTTAGTCTCTCCAGGATGATGCGGCTTGGGATGGACAGTGAAGAAGCATGATTTTTCGCCAGATCTCGCAAAGGCTTGGGTCTCCCTACTCTGGAAGTTCGGCAAGGTAGCACTTCTTCCAATCTGCAGGTAACTCACCTTCCTTCCTTCCAAACCTTCTGCAACAGTGGTGTGGGCATGCCCGCTGCTGCCTCTGCGTCCCTTCTCAGTGCTTCTGGAGGAATTCCATCCAGTCCTACTGCTTTCCTCGGACTTCAGTAACCTTATGGCGTTTAGGACCTCTGCTTTTGTCGGAGGGCCCGTGTTCACTTGTAGTTCTGCCGTTGTTGTTGATATTTCTGGACGAGTTGGAGCTGGTGGAGGTGGTCGATTCAAAAGCTTTTTGAAGTGGTCAGGCAATTGTTTCCTATAGTTCTTCTCTTTGTTAACCAGGTCTCCTTCGCTGTCTTTCATTGGTTTCGTCTGCTTTGATCTCTTCCCAAATAGTAACTTGGTTATTTGATATAGTGATGTCAGGTTTCTTCTACCTGCAGCCTGTTCTGCTTCACTTGCCAATGTGTCGTAGAGGTGTTTTTTGTCTTTGCATGCACTCTTTTTCACTTCTTTGTCCAGTGATTTGAATGTTGCACTCAGTTCGTCTTTTTGTTGTGCATCTTTGCACTGGTTCCCCTTACGTAGCCAAAAAACATGTCCAATAAAGGCAGAAAAAAGAAAGGCTTTAGGTATATAATAACTGTTGGCTTTGCTGTACTGATCATGTTTTGCTGACAAATAGATAAACTAGTTCAAGGTGCTGTAGACGCTCATCGGTTGAGTTGACTGGGGAATGTGAAACGTTTATCCATTCACAACCTGCCAAGTTACACTGCTAACTATTTTGGTTGTGAAACTTTCGACTGTAGTGAGACTGAAACATGGTATCAATTTATAATGTATTTGACTACCGGTTTGAGCAGTGTACGGAAATATAGACTTTATGGTCGAGATTCATACAAGAAACGAAATTGATGACTGGAGATTCTAGATAACACGGCTAGTAATCAATATTATAGGCTCATATAACTTCAGTACCTTCCCTATTCCTCTTTCTTTCATCTTTCTTGTAAGTATCTTGATGAACTAATGAATGCAATACTTCTGGGTCTCATCCTCATACTGATTTCTCGACTCAATTTTTTTCAGTTGATGTTTTGAAATCTTTTTGATTTGCTTCTGCTCAAATATCATAGCTGGTTGAGCGCATGCAAAATATAAAATGCAACATATTCAGAGATCGGGAGCAGTGGTTAATATGTGTATTCGTAATTTATTTTATTCCCACTTCTGAATATTTTAGTAATTTGCACTTACTTGTCTGCTTCCCTTCAGGCTGCTCATTATCTGCCACAAATTTTCTACTTTCCTTCCCTTGACTTTCTGAGATCTATAATGTCATTTCCATACATTTTTTCGTCCTAATGCCTCATACATCATTTAGTTGGTGTGTAATGTGGTGACTTAAACCGTAATGCAACTCTGTATCTGGATACTGACTAATTGTAAACAGGGTAGGCTCTAGACCAAGTGGGATAACAACACTGTACACCAGCATTATATCAGAAAAGGGAAAAATATTATTTTTATCAGATAGCATAAGATCTGGGTAGAATATTTACAAAATGGTTAATACTATTATTTATTTAAATAGTCGACACTTTTCAGGGAGATAGATATCGTTTTATGGGAGGCGCCTTCCTTAGAAGTTTTTTATTATGATTTCTTCAGTTCATGAAAGTCTTTTAAAAACAGGGAAACCAGTGACTACTTGTTTAGGCTGTATATTCAGTAACTGCATTTAATATCTGTAAAATAACTTATTAAAATGGTAACAGTGGGTATGTATTCAGTCCAAGCACGTTTGTGCAGCACTTTTTTTACACATAAATAGCAGATGGAGCCAACAAAGTGGCAAGACAAAAGAATGAAAACCATAAAAATGGTAGTTGTAGGAGAGCGGGACAAATAAGTTAAGTGAAGAGTAGGCAGCAGAATAAAAGAAACAAGGTGATGAAATTACTACACACATCATCTTCGCCAGTATAATTAGTTTTAACCACATCAATCAACGTCTTGGTCTTTTGAATTCAGGTGATTTAGGGTCTTTGGATACCGTCTTATTTGCCGGCATGTTAGTTGAAAAATCAATAAGTCATTTTTCTAAAAATCCATCTTATCACTTGACGCAGTTACTACGGCCAACTCCTATGCAACTTGACTTACCGATTTGTACAGTAGTTTTCAACTGACAACAGCTATCACGTCTGTGATGAATTTTCCATTTTATTTTATCACCACAATACTCCAGGATATAATGTGCATCCAATTCATAGGGGATAAAATTCCAAATAGCTAAGATCATATTAAGGATCGGATTGAACTGATTTTTGAACAGCTGTCTGCGTAGATAAGTTAAATTTGTTTCTTTAACTGGTTAAAATGAAGATAAATGGCATTCATAGGTTTGAGAAAATTTTAGTAGGTATATGATACTGAATCGTGTCTACAATGAAAATAATTTCATTCGCAATGTATGTAAACACTTTTAGAAGACAATTTTCCACTTTCTGAAACGGTTTAGCCTATGAACTGAGAAGAAAATCTTCCTCAATGTCATCAAATAGCAATAGTTTTAACAAAGTAAACCTCTTACCTGTTTTTCAGAACACAGTATAACTGACTGGACCTTGTGAAACTTTTATAATTGTTGACATTTGAACTTAAACGAGACTAAATTCATAAACTAAAACCAAACCAATCCTTATAATTACTAGTATACATCATACTATATGAATTAAGCAGATAAGTATGACTTTCCCAAATCACGATTCTGCATTTTTAATATTTCCCTGATCAATACCTCACGACTTTAGTGCTAAAATAATGTCTGGCTAAATTCTTCAGCATGTTAAGAACCAAATGATGGTGAAAAATTATTAGTTATGAGAAGGTAATGCATTCGTGCATCTGAA